TGACTCTCTTAAACTGGAGAGGGTTACAGCAGATTCCCCGATTCCCATAAAAGATTTAAAAAGACCATAAGGACATGTACATCATGTATGCGTTTTCACAGGTCCCACCTCTTCAGTCCCCGGGGTCAACCCCAGGGCCTCAGACCTAATGTCGTCTGGCAGACTGATGTGGCCCACTATGCACCTTTTGGAAAATTAAAATATATAGATCGATGTCTGTAGATGCCTATTCACATGCTTGTTGGGCAGCTGCTCAGTCGGGCAAAAAAGCCCGATACGCTGAAAGCCATTTCCTACAATGTTTTGCCATTTGGGATTACCCCTACAGGTTAAGACAGACAATGGGCCCTGCTTGGTGAGCAAATCATTACAAGAATTCTTCCAAACTCTGAATATTACACACACCACTGGAACACCATACAACCCAAAGGTCAAACTATAACTGAGAGGCATAATAAGACCTTAAAGTACCAACTAATAAAACAAAAAGGGGAGCAACCCCATGACCAACTAAGGACAGCCATGCTTACATTGAATATCTTAGATTTCTCCAAAGACCAACCTCTGACTGCTTTCCAGAGACACTGGTCTAATCAGACACCTTATTTGAAGGTAGAGGTCCCATGGAGGGAGCCCCTGACTGGATCGTGGTGTGTTTCTGATCCCCTCATTAGTGCAGGGAGGGGATTTGGGTGTGTATTCCCGATTGGGGAGCCAAGTCCAATTTGGGTCCCCCTAGAGATCTAAAATACCGTTCACCAGATCAAAAATGATCACCCAAGAGCACCCCCTCTTCAGGTAGGATTCTTTATTTTCTCATTTGTAATGAAAAGACCATTCTGGACGCTTGGCCTGGTTGTGGCCGGACTCCTCATCATCTCCCTCGTGGCCTGGACCTGCTTACCGCCAGAAAGGGAGGACTGTGCCTGTTCCCACAGGAGGAGTGCTGCTTCTATGCCAAGCGCTCTGGATTGTTCAAGATAAGATTAAAAGGTTACAAGGACCTTGAAAACCGCTGGAATGAGCTGCAATCAAGCTCTCTGTGGACTGGGCTAAACGGGTGGCTCCCTTACCTTCTCCCCTTGGTAGGCCCCTTGGTTATTATAATTCTTGTGATTATACTAGGACCTTGTGTAATCAACAGCCTCCTCCAATTTCTTAAGAATCGAGCCAAAGCTGTTCAATTGATGGTGGTCCAGCAGCGATGGGCCATCTTACAAGATACTGACTGGGAGCCCCGTGAGGTTGGCCGTGGCCCCTACCAGGATGTACACGTGTAAGTCAGAGGCAAGAGGGTTTTTCTTCATAGGCCTAAGTCACCTCCCTCCTTGAGGTTCCAACTGCCTGAAGAGCCAGAGTGGTAGTCAGTGACGGGTAAGGTCCCCAGAGGGGGACAACCTAAGACAGGCACACTCTCGAATAAGGCAGACACCCACCAATAAAACAAAAAGGGGGAGATGTAGGGCACGTCACATCAGAGAAGTAGAAACCTATGATGAGAAAAGGACACCCAACTTGTAGACCGAGGCTCACTTCCTGGTCTTGGGGCCGCACATGGCTAAGATGGCGCCTGGCGATCGGCCAGAAGGCGTGACCACGGGTTGTGACGAAAAATCAGAGCACCTCTAGGATAGGCTCAGAACCCTTCCGCCCTCGTGGGCAGCTCCGCCCCCCTCACTGCCTGCAGGATGGGTGTCCACGTGAGCTCTCCCCACCCTGCTGACCTTTATCCTGATTGGCTCCTGGGCCTCATATTAGCTGTGTGTGCTTCCTCACCAAACGAGCTCCAGCCTTGACTGGTCTCCCTGACGCGTCTGATTGTCCTCCAGCGAGGGAGGGCTGGGGGCGGGTGGTCAGTCGGCCCTCTCCTTTCTTGGCTCGTCCTGGCCGGGGGGTGTTCTCCCCATCTCTCCTGCAGGTCGCGGGGGAACGAGGACTAAAACCCCACACTGCCCACCCTGGTCCAACTCTGCCTGAGCCCTCTGGCTGGYCCTGCCCCTCCAGGATGGGGTTTCTGGAGGCAAGGCCAGTTTGTGTGGCCTCAGGGCTGGCTCACTGCTGTGTCCAGGGAAGGTCCTGAGGGGGTCGGAGTTGGGAAGCACAAGGCTCACTGGGGTCAGCAGCTGTGCACAAGCGTGCAGTGCAGAAGGGCCTGCTGTACAGAGGGCGTCCACGCATGTCCATGATCAGCACATGGGCTTCCACACCAAGCCCGCAGGTCAGCAGGAGCACTCCATGGAACACAGACTTGACGGGTCCCCACCAGGCCCGCAGGTCAGCCCTCACGTGGGGTTCGAGAGCAGGCGCCTCTCTCCATTGGTGACACAGTACACACCACAAACAGGAAGAGCAAGTCCACACTGGGAGACTGCTGAGCCACCATCCAGCTTCATGGGGGTGCTCGGCAGGAAGAGGTAGGAGATGCAAGTTGCCCTGGGGTAGGAAGAGCTTTGTGAACAAGATGTCTGCTACCTGACACGACAGGGTGTCTGCACATACAGGTCACGGAGCTTCCTCCGAGGAGCAGTCGGACTGCAATGAGAACAGAGGGAAGGACAGACCCTGGGCACAGGCAGCTCGGGCTGGTCAGAAAATGAGTCAGAATCACCACAAAGAGGCCAAGTGCCAAGCACAGCCTCTTCAGCRCAGAAGGGCCACGCCCACAGAGGCCGGACACTGCTCTGGAGGAGACGGAGCAGGGCYGGAAGGCGGTTGTTGGCAGCAAGTCACAGGAACCCACAGGTCACCCCGGGGCCTGCAGGACAGGAGGGATGCACAGGGGAGACCTAAGGTCACCATGGGCCTCCAGGACAGGAGGGATGCACGGGGGAACCACCAGGTCGCCGTGGGGCCACCAAAGCAAACACTTGTTCTAAAAGATGGTTGACTACATTTTCTTTAAAGAAATAATGAGTTATTGATGAGAAGTAAGCTATTTGAGAATAAACTCCCAGTAAAGTTGAGTAAGAAAAGGCGCTTCTGTCTGGCCAGTGGGACTGAATGACTGGCCACAGGGGCACAAGTGACCGCTAGCCTTCCATGTGTATTCTGCAGCCCAGGAGCTCCCCCTCAAAGTCCTGCTTATTAACATCCTTGATTCCTTATGTTCATACCCAAGTTTGTTTATTAGGCAGAATTCCTGGAGAAGTATCACCTGGGACCAGGAGGAATGGCGAAGGCCACTGCACTCACCAAGCATAGAKGACACGTGGTGTCTCTACTAAAGTGCCTGTTCATTAAGTTCTGCATCAGTTTGTGTACAATTAGCTAAACAAACGCCCTTTAAAATCTACCACCAGGGCTAGAGTCTCTCTTCATTAATAACAAAAGACACCCAGGCCATCCTGCCGTGAAGCCCCTCGGGGACCAAGCGCAGTCCCTGGATCTTCAGAAGGATGCACCAAGTTTGACCACAGGCGATGCCGTCTGTCCAGAGCAGGCCCACCCGGCAGACAGCAGGCAGCCTGCAATGCACTGAGGGACTCCACCTCCCCTAGGAGACCCCAGGGAACCCCCTGGGGCCCAGACTCCTCCCCGTCGCCTTCCACGTGGGACTGCCACTTAGTGAGCTGGCACCCACCTTCCCTGAGCAGACACCAGGCGCTCCCCCCCCCCACGGGCATCTGAACCTCAAGGCCACCATGTCCTCAAGGCCTCAGGTCATTTTTTAGAGCGCTTTCCTCGTAGAGCTTCAAGCGCATCTCAGTATTCAAAATAGGAATGAGCTCATTTTAAAATCCTGCAAGTCTGTTGACATTTTGCACGGACACCACAAGTAAGACACATTACGGTTGTCACAGTCACAACTCAGGGCAAACGTACGGAGCGAGTCAGCAAATGTCAGCACTTGGAGGCTGTTGACTGAAGATGCTCTTGGAATGRCCAAGAAACCGGACTTCAAATAACCAACTTCATTGCCCTGAGAGAGCAAGGAGAGAATAAAGGGCCACTGTCTGCTCACATATTGTCATGGCTTTGGGGAGTGAAGAGGCACTGCATTCCAGCCTGCCCGCCATGACGGCCCCCGCCCTGCAGATCCAGGTTCAGACGGACTGCTTCTTGGAATGGGATGGACKGCAGCTGAGGGACAGAGTCCTGAGGGCCCAGCTCCAGATGCCGCACAACACAGATAGGTGTGCAACAGGCAGGAGCCAGCTCTCACAGACCTCAGACCTGCCAGATGTTTGCGGTCCAGGGCCACAGAGCACAGGACCCTTCTGATCAAAACTCACTGGGGCCTCCCAGATCGTCCCTGTCAGCATGGGGAGTTACTAAAGGCACAAAGACATCCTGTGAGCCAACCAACAGCCACGGAGCAGAAGAGACCAGCAGTTTCCTCCCTTGGGCAGGGCAGAGCAGCTCCACACGCCTTGCCAGCCACAGCTGGACAGGACAGCCCGCAGCCAGGTCTGGGATGGAAGGCCCAGGCTCTGAGCAGGCTCCACTCTCACTGCATTTCACATTGAGCAGTCTCAGAAAGCAGCCCATGCACTGAGGGACACCTGGGGCACACAGGTCTGCTCGCCTGGGACAGGGCAGTGGCCTGGCCGCTAGAGTGCACGTTCCACCTCCAGACGCCCTATCCCGCACCCTCCCCTCCAGAGAGACCCCGGGCATCCTCTATGAGAGCCGGCCCAGCTGAGGAAAGGACTTGGGACAGCACAGAGTCCATGAACCTACCCGCACTATCCCTCCAGGTGCTGGCAGAGAAGTGCCCCATTCTCCCCCAACAACAAACACCAGTCCCACGGCCAAGGCCACCCAAGGGAAAGAGGTCTCGGAAATGCCCAGAAACGTGAGGTCCTGACAAGAGCCTGCCCAGTTGTCCCCTGTGTTCACTCAACCTCCAGAGCCCAGCCCAGGCCTGTGCTCGCAGCGATGGGGAGACGCAGAGCCAGTTTGCAGCTGGCACAGCTCAGAAAGCTCATGCCGGGTCCTGTCTCTGTTCACACCGGGGCTGCGGTGCACACCGACCCTCACGTTTCCAGGTCTCTCAAATGTCACACCGAGGTCCCTCTCTCYTGCCAGAAGCCAAGTCCACCCATCCTGAAGCCTGAGCAATGAGGCAGGTGGCACTAGCCCTGGATCCRCCCTGACCCTGTTAGCCTCAGACTCTGTGGCACAAGCCCGTGCACTGCTGCCCTGCACTGCCTGCCCTCTCCACCTCARTTGGAGTGGGTGCGTGCACACACCCGAGTGTGTGAATAGTCTTACCTGTGGCCTTCACGACATCTGCAGTTGTCACATTCTGGACATTGGTGCTCACTTTGAAAGTCACTGCTGGTCCCAGGACRCTGGAAGAAAACATTTAAGAAAGCAGGCATTACTGGTCCACAGTGCTCATTGGCAGCCACCCAGAACCCCCGACGTGCTGAGAACAGCTCCAGCCGTGTGCTTCTCATGCCTCTGCCACCGAGTTCTCCTTGATGCTGAGACTGTTTCCATTCCCCGTCATCTCCCGAATGAAGCACATGCTGCCTGGAATGTGCTCTTACCACRAAACAGGCGTCCACCCGAAGGCCCACTCACTAGGGAACCCCACCTTACTCTAAGCTCTGCTCTCCTCCAGGGGACTGCAGACCCGGCTCCTAGCCAGCTTGCTCAGGGTGCAAGCCCTGGGCAGGCAGCAGCCCTCACTGGTGAGGCAGGTGATGACTACCCYGACGTCGCTGCTGGACTCCACAGGGATGTCCTACTGAGCTCAGTCAGATCTGCCTGAAAGAGTGCCTTCCCTGAAGAGCAGGTCTGCTTCCACCCTTCGGGCRCTTATGCCAGAAATATCCAGGGCTCCAGGTGCTGCAAGACTCCTGGGGACACCTTCGGGCCTCCCTCCCTTGGTCCCCACTGCTGCCATTCCACCCCAAGCCCAAACCCCCGAGAGGCAGAGCTGAGTAACCCCAGTGTCCACCTTTCCTGCCTGCAGGATCCGGGAGCCTCCCTGGAAGCTGCACCTACGCTGACGCTCACCAGGCCTGTCTCCTTGCTCCTGCGTCGGCTCCATTGCTGGGTGTGAGGGAACACGGTGCCCTCCCTGTCCACAGGCCAGAGCCAGTGTTCCCATTCGACAGCTCTCCAGCCAGTGACCTTCTCCGCCTAGCTGGGAGAGCTGCCCTCTGTCTGTTCCCACATTGCTCAGTTCTAACCTCCCTCCCTCCCGCCGGGAGTGCCCTGAAGGAGTGGATTCTCCCTTCTCCCAAAACCTTCCAGCAAGTCAAGTGAGTGCCAGAAATCCAGAACTTAAGCCGAACATGAGTGAGCTATTTTAGAGTGTTCTCCACTTCCCTGGCGGACAACCGGCTTGTCCAGAGCCGTGCAGTGGTTCCTCCCAGGGCCACACGGTAGCTGACGACACATTGGTCCCGACTGACTCAAGACATTTGAGTGACTTCTCTTATCAGGACAAAGTGCTGCTCACCATGAGAACCTCCCACAACCCTCCAKAAGGTTCTAGGCACAACTAAAGGCCTCCTGAGGTCAGGAGTGGCATTTGTCAGACCTCTGTGCTCCAACGGATGACAAAATCACCTGAGAGTGTTTAAGACTCCCTTTACGGAGACGCCTGATTTCAGGGGGAAAGAAAGACCAGGAAAGCCCCTTGATCAGGGCCATGGGAAGTGAGGGTCTGATGATGAGCACTCCAGTGGCCCCTGGGCAAACCCACCCTAGAGATGGTCACCTCCAGCAGGCTGCCACGGAAAACACGCAGGCCGCAGCGGTCAGCAGAGGAAGTTTGTGGCAATCCCCACAGGGAGGGCGTTGGACCCAAGGCGCACCCTGCCTCTCACACCGGCCTACGGCTTGAGCACTCCACTGCCATTGTCTCTTCTTTCTCTCTGCCTTTAGCCTCTGAATTCAAAGCTGGTTCTGAGCACTGAGGTAGCTCTCTTTGAGGTCACCTCTGTTCCATCCTGGAGCAGCTGCCACAACCCACAGCCTTTGAGAGACCCTGCATCAGCTGCAGGGGACTCCAACAGGTGATCTGGGGCAGCCTGGAGCTCACGGGGCCTCTCCTGGCTCCCCAAACCACTAATTAGACAGAGTCCATCAGCTCAGTGCAGAAGCAACCTCSAGACCTGAGAAGCCCCAGCCCTAGGCTGCACCTGCCCCTAGCCTCCAGGGGCCTGTGGCCAGGCGACTCAAGTTATCCTCTTGCTAGTGAAAAATCAGCCCAAACTGCAGGCCACTCTCCCGTCACATGAGACACTGGTGGGCTGTACTTGATCCCTCGCAGAACACCCTCCACACGCTACAGGGCTTCTCAGGAGGTGGAAAAACAGCCCCTTTCTAGGGACAAGAGCTGCGGTCTCCAGCTGCTGCCCAGGGCATACCTCCTCACTCTCCAGAAGAGAAACAGCTCAAAGGCCCTGCCTCACCAGGCTGGCYACCCCACAYCCAGGCCTGCTGGGCGCTACACCTGGGTGTACTGAGGACCAGGCACCGAGAGAGGCAGCAGGCACTGACCTCACCTCAGAGCGAGCCTCTGAAGCGTTCAGTGAGGCTCCTAGAAGGCGGCATGGCCCATAGCCCAGCGGTGGGCTACATGTGCCTTTTGGGCGCTGACACTAGGCCTATTAGGGACAGGTGGCTGAGAGGTATTTCCTGATAGTGAGGAGAAGCCRCTCGAGTCCCATGCTGGGGGAGAAGGGAGACAGCAGGGGCAGGGACTGCTGTGGGCCCACCTGCCCAGGGCCCTGAGCTTCGCTCTGGCTATTGCTAGAGGCTGCAGCAGTCTGCCACCAGCAGTCATTACGGGGGGACGTTGCAAAGCCCCTGCTCCTGACCTAGGGCTAGAGGGGCTTCACAGGTGGGGGCATCATGTCCCAGCGCCATCAGCCCTGGCTCTGGAATGGGCTCTTAAGACCTCCTCATCCCTTCGCCAGCATCTGCCGTCTCAAGACCTGTAAACCCACACCCTCTGCACCCAGAAGCCCCTGCTCTTCAGACAAGCTGCCCGCGGGGCCCTGCTGGCGGGCATGTGTGCTGGGACCCCAGGGAATCCTGACACCTCCCTGTGACTTGCTGAGAGAGGAGAGGGATAGGACTGGGCCGACACCCACCATCATCCCAGGGCTGGGGCAGAGACCACCTCGCAGGCAGTGGCTCCACCAGTGCACCGGGAGGGGGGTCTCACATGGGCTGAGCAACTTCTGAACAGAAAAGAGGAAAYGCTGCAGAGACGGAAATGCTCGGGTGACAGAGGACAGCGCAGGAGCTCTGCAGGGCCCAGAAGGGAAGCCACCTGGACCCTGCCAGCCCCACTGCCACCCGCCCTCCTGTGGGYAGGGGCCGTGAGGGCTCGGCCTGCACAGGGCCTCCGGGGCCGCCCTTCCTCCTCCCTGCCAGAGCTGCTGCCGGACACAGGCCTGCTGCTTTCCATCTGTGCAGGGGACACTTCCCCACTCCTGCCCTGACCTCTGCCTGGTGAGGGAGCTGGGGTGGAGGTGGAGGGATCCCTGGATCCTGGGCACCCCTTGACATCTAAGACGTCAGGCCACTCGGCGCAGAACTGGGAGGCCCGGCTGGCTTTCTCTGTGGGTCCTCACTCCAACACCCATCCTGACTCCTTAGGAAACGCCACAGACTTTCCCCGGGCAGGTGCCGTCTGTGCAGCCTCAGCACTGGGCAGGCCCTGCACGTGTGCTCACAGAGTACAGCTGGCCAGGGGGCTACGGACCTCTCGGGATCAAGGGTGTGGTGTCCCAGGCACCAAGTGTCCCCTGGGGGGCAACCCTGCCACTGAGAAGCATGCTCTAGGCTCCTCCCTGTGCTGCCTTGGCTCCCAGGAGTGTCAGGAGGGCTGCGGTTTGAGACCCTCACGACTTCTTGGTCCAGATACAGCTGGTGAACGGAGCAGGTGGAGGGAGAATCCACTGCATGTGACACTCTGCTCATCTCCCTGGTTCCACTCTTAGTCTCATCCCACTTCAAGGGCAAAGATCGTCTTCTCCAGGGCCCCTCTGCATTGGAGTTGAGTCAAGCAACCTAAGACAGTGTCCCAAGAAAGGTGGCTGCTCTGCTGGCCCTGGGCTGGTCAGKTGAGAGTCGCCCCACCTCTGGCTGTCAGCAGCACTTCTGGTCTCAGGTGCTGGTGCAGAGTGTGGTTTGTGCTGAGCTCGGCTTCCTTCTCGTGACAGCCTACCTTCCCATGTCCTGTCAGGGCTTCTGAGGGGCCGTGGGACTCACAAGAAASCCCCAGAGCTTTGCTTGCTCTCAGGGCCAGTCCTGCTACCACAGGATGTGCACACGCATGCCCATGCATCCTCCTGGAAGAGCATCCAGCCCAGGGCCTTCTTGGGACCAGGCTCGCCTCTCCCCACCTGGAGCTCAGTCATCAGCAAAAATGTCACTGCTTTTCTCCTTGCACCCCCTAGGCAGGTCCGGGCTGTGCCTTGGCACAGACCTGAAAAGGAATGCTGATGGGCACAGCCAGCAGACCTTGGGGACCTTGGACCTTAATCCCATGAGCCACTTCACGTGCAAAACACATCTGTGCTGTGGCACAGCCCTTCCCTCACCATCTGCACACACTGCTGCCTGATCCTGGCACCCAGAAAAAGGCCCAGTCTGAACGGACACCCAGCTTAGAGGTGCCAAGTGCATGGGCACCCTGGAGCCTGCAGAGCTGCGCCCACCAAGCTGCATGAGTGTCAGGCCTCTCCTCCCAGGACGCATGTGCCTTGACATCCATTATGGCCTCAACTGAGCTTCTGCTGCGGGATGGGGACAGTGACAAGAGTGAAGACTGAGCACCGGCGACCACCCTGCCCAGCGCCAGGCAGCCTACTTGTCTTCACCGTGTCACTTACTTTCTAGTTCTTCATAAAACTGGGGGAAATGGGAGAAAGTGCATCTCCATAAGCTGGACTCCTCAGGAAATAGTATGACAGAGACGTCTGAGCCTCGTGAAGCCTCTGAGAAGAAGGTCCGGCACCTAATACCAGAGCTCACAGGGGAAACGAGTTAGAGAAAGTTGTTACTGATAGAGCACAAGAGACTCCAATTCTACAAAGTGAAGGAGCTACGTAATGCAAAGAACCAGAGTCCCCAGAAGGGAGAGGTCACTGAGCAGACATGGAGAGCAGGACCCTTGTCGAGGTCTACTGAGGACAGCTGCGGGTCCCATTGCTGCACTTCCAGATTTTCATTYGGGTTCCCCTAATGATCACTGAAAACACTGCAGTCCCTTCTCACTACCCCGGTGGCCAAGCTCTGTGGGGGCAGCGAGTACTGACAGAGTCACTGACCTTGGGACATGGCCACGTTCCCACCAGCACAGCCGTGGGATTTCCCCGTC